CTCCTTCCTTCCTTCCTTCCTTCCTTCCTTCCTTCCTTCCTTCCTTCCTTCCCTCTTTCATTCTTCCTTTCTTTTCCTTCCTTCCTCCCTTTCTTTTCTTTCTGTCTTTGATCGCTTTGTCTTCTTTTTATTTGTTTTTGTTTTTTTCTAAAAAAGGAGAGAAAACAGGATAGAGTTGGATGGATAAGGAGGTTGGTATCATCTGGGAGGAGATGAGGCAACACTGTACAAAAATTATTTTCATTAAAAAATATATAAAGAAACTGACATGTGGCTCTTCTGGGTAAGCCATATGTCCTACAGGACATCCCCTGCTCTAGGTCTCTTCAGCTAGCCAAACATTACAGTACCATTTAAGTACTCAGTGCTGGTATATTTATGATTTTCTTTTAAATCTATTTACCGGAGAATGAGAAATACATGTTATCTAAATAACAGGAAACAGATTGCATAATTTTATATGCACAGTCATTTAGCTTGGGAGAACAAAATTTTAGCATACTGAAAGAAAACTATTATTAAATATAAACATAAAGTCTTTGCTCAGAGATGAGAAAAGATAGCCTGATAATTCCTTCTTTATAATAAAAAGTGAAAATTCTCAAGGACATATTTACCTAGCATTTTGCCTAAGTATCAATAGCAAAGGTCAGCATACAAGGGACTGGATACTTGTGAGGAAGGGTAGACCCAAAATAATAGGACATATCGAAGTATGTTAAAGGGCTCACCCTTATTCTACGAATCACTGATAAAGAATTAATTGCTAATACACATTCTAATACAAAGACATTCATAGGAAATTTAATATCAGGGATTAACTATCAGAGTCAAATAATTGTGGCAATTTATAAAATAAGAGTATTAACCTTGTCCTAAATAACTTCAAACTTGAAAGCACAAGGGAACATTAGTTGCTAAATATACATGATGAGACATTCCACAGATTTTGCATTGTTTGTAAATAAAGGGTCTTCATATTAAAGAGACGGAAAGGTAGAGTCAATGTCAAATTTCTGGTAGAGTTTGTACCTTCTATGTGTTTATGTTCTTAATATGTTATAAGTTTAAGTTATTTAAAATTATAAAAACAATCTGTTAAAATTGTTCTTATGAGGGCTGTATCTGACAATGTGAGTTTAGCATCCTCATCCTGGATTGAAAACACTTTCAAATATAAACTAAATCTCAAGGAAAAACAGCAGGGCAAAATTTTGAGCAAAAATACACAAAATGGCCATTGGCTGAAATACAGTGTAGACAAAATAGTAGTCTCATAAAGGCTCTTTTTTTTTTTTTTTTTTTTTTTTTTTTTTTGTGGTGTAACCTGCGGGAAATCAGGATCACTGTTGTGATGACAACCTCCTATTCTTTCATTTTTATCCCTTTAGGGACTTTAGTTATATTTAGCTCTAGATCTACAACTTTGTCTATATTTCTCAGATTACATAGTGAGATTTTTTTTATACTGCATGATTTCAATAGAAATCGCTATTTCCACCTCTATTTAAGTATTGCAATTTGTAATAAAAGTACACAAAACTTCAAGGCCAAACAATAACGTGAAGAATTATAAAAATATTACCAAAGAAAGTATTATAAGACATAAGATACCAAACCGTAAGTTGTTTTTGCCATAATTATTAAAACTAGTCCTGGAGCTATGAGGAAATGTTCTTGTATTAGGGAAAGAGGACAGAATTTAGAGAGTTTTACTTCATGAGTGTCCTCCATCTACCATAGAGCAGGTATAAAGCCAGTGTAGCTGCCACAAGCATTCTTCTTGGCCCTATTTCAACTCGCAGGTTCAGTAAGGAGCCCCCACCCTTTCTTCATACGCTGTTCAGCAAGTACGAGTTGCTGACAGATGTAGCGAAATACTTCTTCCATTGAAGTGGACCTGGCCAAGGAGAGCTGGCTTGTCAATCTCTTGTCCCTACAGGCCAGTCTCACCCTACCACTAGTGTCAAAGTCAGGTAAAGTTCCCAGGAAATATGATCACATTCACTGTGAAAGAACTTGGAAAAATAATGAACTACTGCCGTCATTTTCATTTAAATTCTTCCCTTGCCTGAGGAGACTTAGGTACCACGTGAAGCCCTAGCAGCATAGCAAACTCCCATAAGTTTGCAGGTGTGTGGATGTCAGCCTCAAGGTGCATCTTCTCTGCAATTCAGACAAATAGATTTCTTAGGAGATGTAAGAGGGAAGCAAGATATTACAGGGCTATGTGATGGTGGCTGGCGACTGGTTTCTGGTGACTGATACAATAAAAGGGTTAAATTAAAAGGTGGAAAAATAACTGGAAAGCATTGACAGGCGTTTCCGTGTAACATACAAAAAAGAAATTAAGGTCCTGTGTCAAGAAAAGTGTCATGTTCTGGTTTATGTACAAGCTGCCTCAATGTGTTTAAGGTGCTTATATTTGCTCTATTTTTCCCCCTTTCCTCATTTTTACCTTAACTCTGCTTTCTTTAAAGAAAGATGCACCTGACCCTAGACCTGTAGGTGGTGAGCGTGAGGCATAGTCAAGATACAAATACCAGTGTCTGCCTAAGAGTAGCACTTTCTAGGTGGAGCTGCCCTTTCACAGGCTCTGATCCTGGGAAAGGTCTATCTAGATGTTGTACAGTCATAGTCATACCAGGTATCAGGAAGGATGAGGATCTGATTCCACATAGGTTTGTGGCCAATAAACAATAGTCAAACATATTCTTTTGCTATGTACCAAGCAATAGTCTATCTAATTGTACCACATTTTTATTTCTATAATCCTTACAATAACCTTTGAAGTAGGGAGGTCTATTGTCTCTACATTACTTATATGAAAGTCATATATGTATATAGTTATATGTCTGTGTGTGTGTGCGCACATGCATGATATGTGTGGGCACATATGCCATAGCATATGTACATAGAGGGCAGAGGGCAATGTGTACTATTTGATTCTTTCTTTGTATCATGTGAACCCTGGGGATTGAACTCAGGATTTCACAGTTAGAGGCAAGTGCCCAGAATCTGCTAAGGCATCTTTTAAAATTACTTTTAATTGAAAACACTTTTTTTCATATAATATATTCTGATTACAATTTCTCTTCCCCAGATCCTCCCAACTTCCCCACCCACTCAAATACACAGCCCCTTTTTTCCTCTCATTAAAATACAATGTACATCTAAAATAAAAATAATGAATGAAAACTGTAGTCAGCTCAATAAAACTCTTCAAGTATGTAAGTTATGAAATGCTCTGATGTGTCCAGAGCATACAGAACAGAACAAACACATTTGCTTTGCAGAGCCAGGATTCCAAACAAAGATATCTCAACCAGAGCTCTATAGTCTTTTAAGACAATCCTTTCATAGGGGTTGCCTGAGACCATCAAAATCCAGATGATTATGGTTCAAACATTATGAGTCAGAACAGTAGCAAAATTACATGTATAAAGAAGCAATGAAAATAATTTTATGTTTGGGGGGGTCAGCACAACATGAGGAACTGTATTAAAGGGTTGTGGCTTTAGGAAGGTTGAGAACCACTGTGCTACAGCAGTTTCTATGTCCCCACATCACTATGGTGTGATTCTTTCAGATACTTTTAATTCCTGTAGAAATTATCCTCAAAGGCTAATCCTACATATAGGGTTATCTGTGTATCTGCATCATGGAATCCAGAAAGCACAACAAGAAAACAACTGAATGTGTGGGTTCCCTAGGCTTTTAGTTCCCAGAACAATTTGTACACAAAACTGGCCAATTTGGTTACTAAGTTCACACTTTTTGTCCCTAACTCTTGTATGTGGAAGACTGCTATCTGACAATACTCAGGGATGCGGGGCTCCTCTTACATAGCTTAAAATCAAAAAAAAAAAAAAAACTAAAGATAAATAAATAAATAAATAAATAAAAAACAAAAACAAAAAAAAACAATGCCGAGTGTTAGACTGCACACTCAACAGATACATTCTCTTACAATATCTATTCTCACACTATCCTGTGTCTGAGGTGGAGTTTTCTAAGATTTTTAAGGCATCTCACTTTCACTTTCTGCCAGGAGAAGCTACTGTTTGCCTGGGGACGCTCAAGACGGTCATTGTTCTCAGCAATGGTTCATCTCACGAATCATTTCAGGGGAATCTAAGCAAAGGTAAATGAACCCTGTTTGCTGTCTGAAGCCTGCCTTTGTCAACATGAGCCATAAACACTAGCAGAATGAGACATAAGCAGAGGGAAGTTATAAGAAAGTACAAATACTCCATGTTCCCTTTACTAAGTTTCTCCTAGGTTTCCCACAACTGTAGAACTGCAAAATCAACATTAGGACATGGTACATTTTTGCTGCTAATATATCTTCAATGAATTAGTTTTTGTATATATAAATCTATAAAATATTAGCACAGGAATAGTTTTACATACTAAACAGTAGAAGCAAGATACAAAACTACTTCATTGGCCCAAATGAACTCTTAGGCCATAATGTAATGCAGAACAGTAATTAATGCATATACTAAACACTATTCAGTCCCGAACCCTGGGAATCATTTCTCTGTTATTTCTCTCCAACGTTCTGACATTTCAACAATGCTATAGAAATGTAACCGTAAAGCAAGTAAACTTTGAGATTACCCCCTCCCCCACTTACTATACTATATATACCACAGCTCATCTAAGTTGCAAATATTAGTGGCCTGTCCTTTTGTTTTTTACCACAGAGTAATATTCCAGGGTTAGAAATGGCTTATTTACCCATTCTGGAATATATGGGTTGTTTGTAATCTGAGGCTATCTCAAATAAAATTTTGTAAAGGTTTTTGTGCCACGACAGTGTGACTGCTGGCTCGTATGTTAAGTATATATTTAACTTTATCAAAGATTTCCCAATTCTTCTGCAGAGTAGTTGTATTTCACATGCCTGTCATTGCTGTAAGAGAAATATAGTTTGAATCCTTAACAGTATTTAGTATTTCACTATTAACTCTTTAGCAATCTTGTCAAATAGACACCACATGACACTCTAATTTTAATTTGCAATCCTCAATGACTTAAAAATTTCAACATATTTTCATCACAATACCTGCCATCTATACATTGTCTTTGTTGAAAATGTCTATTTATGTCTTCTCATTTCCTACTTGACTGTCTAATTTTTGAGTTCTGATCATATAATATTTTCCCATAGTTATTAGACAATGCAAGTAAATTCTTATGCTATTATTTTTTCTTTTTAAAAACAAAATAAAGTATTAATTTCTGTAAAGTTCAGTATATCTACATTGTTTTCTTCTGGATTATGCATTTGGGCTAAAGTTTAAAAATAAAGTTAACTTAAAAACTTGAAGTTGTCTCTTGAAGATTTTTCAATATATTTTTTTTTCTAGAAGGTTTCCATCTTACTTTAAATCCATGAAACATTTTGAGGTACTGTTAGAATATATTTTGTTGGCCTGTAGATGTTCAATTGTCCAAAGCGCACGCCCTTTCTTCCTTGGATCACTTTTGTGCTTTGTCAATATTAGTCGAAATGAATTAGTTTATAAGTCGTACGCCAAGTATTTACATCTGCCCATTTTTGTTCTCCTGCTTTATTCTAGGGAAGACAGCTCTTCCATCAGGTCTTCCTTTTCTTCTTCTAACTCCTGCACACGCTGCTGGTTTTGCTCTAGTCTGTTCTCCAACCATTGTAGGAGAGGCCCGCAGACAGCGGACATCTGACTGCACAGATGCTTGGTGAATACAGAGCCATTATGGATCTTGGTTACTGAGTCCAGATGTGTAAGGCCGTGGATCTTCCTATACGTATCTTGTTCTTCCTGACATAGGATCCCCGGAAGCTCAACTGCTGACCTGAGGCATACTTTCCCAATGGTGGTATGAGGTACAATATGGATTGGGATTTCAAGTCTCTCATAGTCTGAACTCTTTGATGCTTGTACAGACTGAAAACAAGTATAGAGTACACGACCAATCCTGGTGGGTCTGTCTTCTATGAAACAAGCAAAAATCAGTCCTACAAAGCTTTGATCCATCATCTGGTACATGGCTTGTGTACGGACATCGACATGAGAAGGCCAAACGGTTATATGAGGGTGGGAATGGTACCAGCCAACAACTCTCATGGGTTGGCCTGTTTGTTCAGCTAACCTTTCTGCCTCTATGGAGGCTGCAGACAGTTGCTCTGGAGAAATTTCTACACGGTCCTTTGTCTTGTCAGAACGTCGCAAGATAATAACAGAATGAATGTGAACAATTCTGACGGCATCCATCTTTTTCGCAACTGCGCACACTTCAGCTCCAGCGTATGCAAGCTTGGAGTTACTCCTCCCGTGATCATTCAACTGGCCTATACACAGACCCATCACCTCCTCCTTCTCTGTGCTCAGAGCATGGTTGAGACAAACCAGAAAAGCATCTGACTCAAGGTGAACCGCTTGTACCCTCTGCACCGTCCGCACCGCCATCTTAATCGGGCTCCACTCAAGTAGGTCTTGGGCCCACTGCAGACAGCCCAACCACTGGCTCAGAGGCAGCCTTCCCAGAAGGCCTTGCGGGTCTCCATTGGGGTGGAGCCTGAGGCACAGGGGAGTGGCTGGGTGCCACAGGGTTGGAGCCTAGGGTGCAGGGGGTGGAGCCTGCCTAGCCACACGTGGGAGATTTTTTTCCCCTTTACTGTGTTAGCAAGGTTGCCACAAAGTTAAGCATATCTAAAGAAATGAGATTTTTTTTTTTGATAAACATACAATTCAACGCTATGAATTTATTTTGGCATAATTTACTTTGCAATCACTTCTGGCAAGGAACTATAAAATGATAGTGAATTTTATAATTAGTAGTTTCTTAGAACCAAACCATGAGATGAAAAACGAGCATTATTTATACATATCATAAAGTGATAAACTTTATAGAAAATGTGAACAAGTATAGTTTCTCATTCTCTCCATTATGTTTAGTAATTTTAACCAGCATAAAATTTATAGGTATTAGTTTAAATAAAAATTCTATTCATTGCTATATTAGTTTTTCTCTCAGACACATAGAACAGGGACTAAAATAATAGAAATAAACCAAGTATTCAAGCCAAAAATGAAACATTCAGTTATTACAATAATGCCTAAAAAAAAAAATCAAGAAATCTTTTATAAACCTGAAACGTCCATTACACTAAGGACACAAGTCTCTGAAATCATGGGACATTAGAGCTGTTTCTGAAAGCATCTGATAATGAAGTCATAAAATTAACAATGCTAATTTTGCACCCATTTCTATTTTAAGAAAATATTTTATTACTTCAGTTAAAAAAAACTCACTTGTTTTTAAATTGCCACTCCACACCGGAGAACATTTATGCTTTTTAATGAGTCTCCCAAGATTTCAGCTAGACAGACAAGGTTATGGTCAAAAAGGGATAACTTTTCATATGTATTAGAGAGACTTCAAGTATGGTGTATAGTGTCATAAAAATGATAAAGTTCAAACTTTCCTCCCCTCCTCCTTCCTTCCCTCCCTTCCTTCCCTCCCTTCCTTCCCTCCCTTTCTTTTCTCTCTCTCTCTCTCTCTCTCTCTCTCTTTTTCTCTCCTTCTCCCTTTCTCTCTCTCTTTCTTTCTTTCTTTCTTTCTTTCTTTCTTTCTTTCTTTCTTTCTTTCTTTC